AGAGAGAGAGAGAGAGAGAGAACACGGATAATTGAAGGAATGTTTAAGTACATGTCAAAATTTTGCGTTCCATAGATTGATTTTTTTTTCTCAATTGCTATTAAGCAATCCTTTCAGTAAAATCAAAAATTTTAGGAAAAAAGAAATAGATATCAGATTAACTTACGACACTTCCATTTTCCTTCCTTGCAATCTAAAACTGCATTACACTTAAAAACCACCCTGGGAATATTTTGCTAAATTATCCACACTACTTGTCAAACAGATTTAGTATTCAACTTCCAAACGCTTTGTCATAACTGTTTCAAATTATCAGATAAAAAGTAATTTTTGAATGTTTTTGAATTGTTAAATTAGAATTTGACGATGAATTCCTACAAAGGAGGAGCATTGCAGACAAAGGACTCCGATATATTACATCTGAAACTCCCATTGTTCACACCTTGGGTGTCAGGTTCTATGCCTCCCATTTAAAGTTACTGTAGATCTATTAAATAAATTGTTCAAAATATTCAATAAATGCAGAAACGGATGATTTCTATCAGTTATTTGTTTGTGTTGGGAAGATAAAGTTTAAAGATCCAACAAAACAGTAACCCCTTCAACACATGATAGATTCATCAGCGATTCGTCATTTCAAGACAAACCCTGGGACTACTTTATCAAAGAAAATATTTATAAGCGTTAAACAAAGAACTGCTTGACACTTACGATGTAAGGTTTCATCACAACTTTGGCAAAAACAGGCCAAAATACAGAGAAACAAGCAAGTGTTTGTGTCAACAGAATATTTAGTAGAACTAAATATTTACATGCATTTGAAATACACTGTAGAAAACGTGTTCAGAGCCAATGATAACTCATTTTCAAGAACCAGTTTGGCTGTTTCCATGGAAACCTTTAGATACCTAGCAAAATGCATTTGATAAAAATTACTCTTCACTAATATCGAAAATATGAAACGTTTGAAATGTCAAAAAAAGTCTGGAATTAGAATAAAACGCATTGGTTCCATCACAGGAGTTCGCGTACCTATCAATTTAACCGAAATTTTCAGTAAATAAAAAAAAATACGTAATACCTATAATAATTGTTATTATTAAAGGTATTACGTATTTTTTTTATTTACTGAAAATTTCGGTTAAATTGATAGGTACGCGAACTCCTGTGGTTCCATGGAAAGGGTTTTTTAATGCTGTTTTAGAGTTCATACACAGTACTTGATCACAATCTCACCTGTCTTTGACTACCATCAAGGTCAGTTCTTATTATGCTTCATGCGCCACGATCTCTTGGCCCTGAGAATCAAAGATTAGAGTACACGTATTTTGTTTCGCAATTGCAAATTCTTTAAATGCCCTTGAACATTTTGGAGTGTAAAAAATATCAGTGGCGAAAGTAAATCATTTCGCATTCTTTATAAAATGAGAATTTTCGAAAAGGATTTGCTTGTTTTTTCCTTTCTATTTCCGTGTCTTTTCTTTTCATAGTTTACGGGTACCTGTTTCATATGTGTTATTGTAGTATTACACTATTTATCGATATTTGGATAACATTCATAAAACAGCAGTCACTTTACATGCAAACACGAGCCTCTCTAAATCGTCATGTCAAAACACGTGCATTTCCTATCGTATTGTATTAGAAGAATAATTTATAAATTTTCCACATATGAACATATTATATCTAACAATTCCAATAGGGGGAAGCTTCAGAATGTAAGAAAAGGTAGAAATTGTCCTAAATTAAAAGATGCATGTATTTAATGTACATCAAATACATGTAGCATTCGTTTTTACCAAAGAAATGAACTTTAACATCGACAAATAGACGACAATACATAAACGTTAACATACTCTGTTTTGTACATTGAGCATTTTTTCAAGACATCATTGGATGGAAACCCCATTTGCAGGTACATACTGCATTACCGGACATTGGACAGAAGGCACGAACGGACTATATGTATTGTATAGATTTTTCGTACTACACATGTTAACTGATGTGCTGTATTGCCAGCCCGTAGATCCCGGGGGGGGGGGCAGTCTGAGTGTAGTATTTTGCTCTAGTAAATTTTCCTTTAGATGCGGATTGCTTCCCCCCCCCCCCCCCACACACACACATCCTCACACACACACACACATTTTGTTGCTATAAGGTCGAGCACTGGCAAATTCTAAGAATTGAACAGTTATTGATGTGTTTTTTTTGCTTGTCAGATTTTTGGGGGGAAGCCCTCCCCCCCCCTTTGAAACCGTTGCTACGGATCTGATTACCTAAGGTTCTTTTTACTGAGTAAATATACCATTGTGGTGGAAGTTTCCGATGTACAGCTATCAGTATATTTTCAGCGTCTGTAAATTAAATTGTTGATCTTGTCCAGACCATCGAAACTTCCCAAAAAGCTAATGTTTGACCGAAGGAGGGAGGGGTTAATCAATAAAAAATAGTGGGAAATATGTATGAGACAATTAAAAGAATCACCAGGTTAGAAAATACATAACTTACATGAAACCTCATGATTATAAGTTTTAATATAAATTATATGTAGGTGAAATCATGACCCTACGGAAGCCGGTAGGTGCCAGATAGAAAAATATTTTATCTGGCGGCCGCCAGATAAATAACTGGCGGCCGCCAGAAACCTATCTGGCGGCCGCCAGAAACTTATCTGGCGGCCGCCAAAAATTTTTTGGCGGCCGCCAAATAATTATCTGGCGGCCGCCAGAAAAATATTTGGCGGCCGCCACATAATTTCTGGCGGCCGCCAGATAATTATTTGGCGGCCGCCAGATAATTTCTGGCGGCCGCCAAATAACTTTATGGCGGCCGCCAGATAAGTTATCTGGCGGCCGCCAGTTATTTATGTGGCGGCCGCCAGATAATTATTTGGCGGCCGCCAGAAAGTTATCTGGCGGCCGCCAGATAAAATATGTTTTCTACCTGGCACCAACCGGCTTCCGTATGACCCTCTAGGTCCAAATGAAATTACATTGTAACTACAGATATTTCAAAATTTCATCGGAGAATACAGAGCAATATCCTTTATCCCGCAGAATACCCGTTCTTCACTTAGATTTATTTACAAGAACCCCTATGTACTTCAGCTTCAAGTTTTCCCAAACCATGTCCTCCTGGGGTTGTGGCTATAAAGGGTTCAATTTTTTAATTAAGGCCACAAGTTGTTTTTTTTTATACGGACCACCTCCTTTAGAGGAACATTCTTTAAAATCTCCGGCCGTCAAATGGATATATTCATGCAATGAAAATAATCTGTGTGACCAAGTTTCGGAAAAAAAATTTCCTGTACCTGTGACCCTTATCACAAAAATGTCTTAAAGATAAAAATATGACAACTCTGTATTATCTTCTTTCATAAAGACATTTATTTGTTTCCTTAATATTATTTACAATGTAATCTAATGTAATGTAGATATATAAGATTTTTTTTATGACCTACTCTCTCTAAGGCACTTATTGGAAATGGGGATATTTTTGTTTTAGTCGTAAGATTTTTGGTGAAAACGGCAGGCTAGTAGAACGCAGGGGGGGGGGGGGGGGGGCTCCCACTTTTTGGACAGTTAAGGGTTTTAAGATGTGTGTGTTTGTTCGTGTTTTTATTTTTTTTTTGCTTGTAAGATTTTTTGAGAGCTCCCCCCCTTTCCACTTTTGAAATCGTTGCTACAGGCCGGAACGGTCACTGAAAACCGTATTGCTCTTCTACAGGATAACCGCCAGTCAAACTCAAAATGATGATCTGGCTTCTTCGTACAATATAAAACGCGTTCTGGGAACCATTATTTCGTAGGAAAACACCGTTTTTCGATCCCTTATTCGTTCCTAGGATGAAAATGAAAATTTCCGAAACCTAATTGCACATCAACAAGACACTTCCAGTCAATATGGTTATTGCATAAAATGTAAGATTATTTTGAGCAGGCACATAGAACGAGTGGGGGTGGGGGGTGGGGGGTGGGCACTACCCCCTCACTTCTTTCTGAGTATAGTTAGTATTTTGCTATAGTAAATTTTCATTAGGTTGCTGGTTGCAACCCCCCCCCCCCCCCAACACATACTTTCTGTTGCAGTGAGGTCGAGCACCGACAAATTCCATGATTTGGACAGTCAAGATTTTTTTAAAAACATTTTTTGGGAGCCCCCCTTTGAAACCGTTACTACAGGCCTGTTGAGAAAGAATAAAGTGTGACAGATAGACGGATACACCATATATAACAATACACCAAAATCTTTTTTAGAAAGTGTGGGTACCATGTTTCTGAATTTAAATTAATGAATATCATATTGTGGCACCACCATTAACCCCATTTGGTGAAAGTATATCAATCTTATAATCTAGACTATGATTCTGTAAATATCTATATGAAGGATATTAGAATAAAAAGCAAGAGTCACGAACTATCAAAATGACTCTGTTTTAAAAATCAACGTGTTTTTGTTCATAGATAGTAGTTTTTAGCTTTTATGGCCGTTTTTCTGTTTTCCTAAATCGATTTTTTTTTTAAAAAGAAAGAATTTGAAATAAGACGATATTTTGATAGATAAACCCAAATAGCACGTCGGTTTTAACGTCAAAGGGCGATAAAATTACAAAGCGATTATTTATGAACATTTGACTTAAAATTTATTATGATTGGGAATCTATCATTTGTTATCTATAATATTCAATACGTAAACTCTTAACTGTATAAATGCGCAAGCCTCGTCCTGTCGAATTCACTTAACTTTTTGATATAAAAGCAAGATCTTGTGTGAATGTTGGAACACAGGTGGAGTTTCAACTTTTCATTTATCGATTTTAATGGGCTAAATATGGTGTGGCTATAATAAGATTTCTTTCATTTCTTTAAGAGACCAATGTGACTCGGATGAGCATTGTGGCATCTCTATATACTAACTGTGGTTCATGACAAAAATATCAGAGTCAGACACATACTTCACAAATATAACCTGGTTTATTATAATTACTAGTATAGAGACAGAAAGAAAATATCAAAAGTAACTGAAATCAACACTGTTTTACTGAGTATCAAATGTTTAAATATAACACCTCAAGTTATCAGTATCATATGACAAACTGGTATAATCATAAAAACTGTTCAAATATAGCTGCATGAACTTTCATTTACTTTTTTTAAAATTACAAATACAATGTTCATGTAAACTGGTACAATATTAGGATGATATTTATAACAACACGTAAATGATGATTACATTGCAATTTTTACTGCATCACTAATACAAACAGCAGGTTGAGTTTGATTCTTACTTATTGATGAAGGATGACCCTATTTCTATCCTGGTGGAAGGTTCTAACTTGCATGATTGTTAGCAATAAATAGCTTCAATTAAACAGCTCAGAAAATCTAGGGCTCATAAAATAGAAGTACTTAGCCCTTGTGACATATACATGTATATTGATCAAAAGAATGAATAAAAGATATATTTGTATTTACAAGATAAATCTATAAAATATTTATACAAATTTTGAGCAACTATTCCACTGGGTACCCTAATTTCACTTTTAAAAATGAAAAATTTTTGTGGCAATAGTTTAAGGAAAACTGTATAAAAAAAAAATCATTCAAATAATATGGGACAATATGTTATTCATTTTATTTCTCAAACACAACCAAGTTTAGCTAAATCATAAAATTGAGTTTGATGATGCAGAAGGAAAAAAAAATTCAAAAAATCCTGCCAACTGTATGCATATGAGGTAATTTTAAATATACATAATCACGTACATTTCTTTACACAAGGATAATTTGTGGATTGTTAAAATTTCCTGAATTGCAATACACTGTATTAATAAAATTGGTTATTTTTTTCATTATTAATAATTAACAATTTAAGAAATCATACAATTTCACTTGTTAAATGTAATTTTAAAAACATTTAAAAATGCAAATTTGTTTGGTTCAGATGGAATAATCAAAATGTGTGAACAAACTCCAGTGTGCAGATATTGTAAAAGTTTCCAACTGGTGTCAAAACATATAAAATCACTCCGTGTAAGAAATATATCTATCTAATGTGTTGTTTTATCTTAAAATAAAGACAATCACTAAGTATTTTATTTTTTACTTCATATTTTATATGTTTTTTTAATTTCCTGGTTATGCACAATATTTGTCATTTGATTGCATTTTCAAGTGTTAAAAAATAGTTTGGGAAGTAAATGAAATAAAAAGCTTCATATCACAATGAAGCGTAACACAACACAATAGAATTCACAACAGTGATTTGGTCCCACATTTTGATTGCATCAAAAGACAATGTTGAAAAAATAGAATCTATAAAAAATTCATCTGACTTGGTACTTCATTAAAGTCTGGATTTCTTCTTCTGCCTTAATGTCCTGCAATGGTAATAAACTAAAAATAATTTATGAAATTATTACAGAAGAGTCTCTGGAACTTCTTTGAAAAGGTTCACAACATGTTTGTTTACATGACTTTATTAGATGTATACCTGATAATTCTGTTAATACCATTTATGAAAATATATTTATCAAAGCACTTACAAGTTATCAAGAAAATCATACAATTATTGCATTTAATATCGAAATGTGAAAGAAATATTGAATTGATAATTTAGAACCAGATTAATCTGATTCCACCTCTTTTATGTGAAATTCAAAAGAATGTTGGTTTTAACATATATACATACATAACTGCAATCAATATCTTTTGCTATCACACAACAATTATTCATGATTTAAACAAAATTCATGATAAACCTTACGTAGAGTGCATGTTGCATGTTGAACTATTAGGAAATATGAAGTGTATACAATAGCAGAACAATATTTACACATTTACATCATACAAATAGACCAATTTCTATGTTACCAGGTAATATGATATTCTCTTAAAATTATGTCAATTTTTGGGGGCACTTTTTTGTTCATTTTCAATATCACAGTATAAGGCATAAAAATACATGAATTAAACAGAAAGAAAGAACAAAAGAAATATTTGAAGACCAAAAGTACTGAAAATCACTTATTATTCACAAATACTTTATTTTAGTGTAATTATGTGAGACTGTCTGCTTGCAAATTTTTTATTCTAGTGTTACATTTGTATTTATTAAAGATTATAAACAAAATAACCAAAAATTCATGAAAATTTTGTCTTGCTTATAAATATCAGATAAATGTCTTTCAAAATAAGGTTTCACAAAAAATTAAGTGATTTACAGTATGCCTTTTTGTATATCTTTTCTTACTTACATCTTGACTGACTGAAGGAATTGCTGCTGCTTTGTCGAGCCATTCTGTCATTTCCTTATATTTTGACATCTGATAATAGCACTGAAATGATGCATCATCACATAAGAGCAAAATATAAGTCATCTACTGGAATATACTGTGCTGAATTTAATACCTGTCAACAGCCCTTAAAACTAGAGATAAATCTGGGTCATTAGAAATTGTTTTGAAAAAAAAACACCATCCAATAAACAAAACAAATAACAATGATCACAAAATTAATTGTCCACCTTCTATCATGGATGTAAAGAATATTTGGTCATAATTTGATGTAACGAAGATATTCTTTTTTTTTCATGCAAAATTTCCTGACCAGTCCGACTCGTAGATCATTAATTCAGAAAATGTCAAATCTTAATTTTAATTTTGTTCACGGATTTGAAGTATAAATTACTTGCTAAAATGAATAACATAATAAATATTATGTTTTTACCTTTCCAATATACAGAAGGTTTTCTTTCCATTTACCAGGGTTAAGACGATCTGCCTGAAAGGAGAAAGACAAGTGTACTTTACAAAGGGAGAAAACTCCTACAATCATCATCTTGTTTAAATTTTCTTATCACCTGATTTTCTTTTTGTTAATAAACATATACAAGTAGTTTTCTACAGATAAAAGAATTTGTCTTCATTTTATTTTTATACGGTTTTCTAAAAAACTGTTATTATGTAGATTCTCAACAGAATTTGTCTTGCTTGTTTATGGAGACATGTGGTTATTACCTCCAGGAAGTGTGTGAGTGCTTCCTCTGCTGTAGAGGTTGGGGGTGTGGCAAAAAGAGTGGCTGCTGCCTTTCTCTCTATCCATGAAAGCATGTAAACCTAAAAGAAATATCAAATGTTTTAATTTTTTTTTTTGATAATATGGAAAAAAAATTCATACACAATACACTGCATATATATTAGAGGAAGGGTGGGGCTGGGGTGGAGGTTATTAAACAATGTTTTTGATTTGAATGATATACTCCAGTGTTACCTAGTATCTATCAAAATAAATTCTATGAAAAATATGCAATGTCATAATAAAAAGGTGACTGAATTTGAATAAAGGACAATGACAACTTTGTGTGGTTACACTTTAAAGGAAAAACAAGATGTGTTTGTGAAACACTGATGCCCCCGTATGGCAGCTTATGGCGAAGGTTAAAGTTTCTTCAAATGCAAGTCAAAATCCAGGCCAAAAGATAAGAAATGTTGATACCCAAAGAAAGGTCTTGTCTCGAGGAATACACCTGTGAAATTTGAAAGACCTAGATACAACTGTTCAGAAGTTATGGCGAAGGTTAAAGTTTTTTAAATAAAAGTCAAACGTCAAGGTCAAGGTCAAAGTGGTTGGTATCCAAAGGAAGATCTTGTCACAAGGATTACATATGTGAAGTATGAAAGCCCTAGCACCAACCATTTAAAAGTTATGGCCAAGGTTAAAGTTTTTCAAAAGTAGGTCAAACTCCTAGGTCAAGGTCAAAGGGTCAAAGTGGTTGGTACCCAAAGGAAGGTCTTGTCACAAGGATTACATATGTGAAGTATGAAAGCCCTAGCATCAACCATTCAAAAGTTATGGCCAAGGTTAAAGTTTTTCAAAAGTAGGTCAAACTCCTAGGTCAAGGTCAAAAGGTCAAAGTGGTGGTTGATATCCAAAGGAAGGTCTTGTCACAAGGATTACATATGTGAAGTATGAAAGCCCTAGCTCCAACCATTCAAAAGTTATGGCCAAGGTTCAAGTTTTTCAAAAGTAGGTCAAACTCCTAGGTCAAGGTCAAAGGTCAAAGTGGTTGATATCCAGAGGAAGGTCTTGTCACAACGAATACACATGTGAAGTTTGAAACCCTAAGCACCAACTGTTCAAAAGTTATGGCCAAGGTTAAAGTTTTTCAAAAGTAGGTCAAACTCCAAGGTCAAGGTCAAAAGGTCAAAGTTGTTGGTATCCAAAGGAAAGCCTTGTCACAAGGAATACACATGTGAAGTTTGAAACCCCAAGCACCAACTGTTCAGAAGTTATGGGCAAGGTTAAAGTCTCATAAAATTTTGCAAAAGTAGGTCAAACTCCAAGGTCAAGGTCAAAAGGTCAAATATGATGGTACCCAAAGAAAGGTCTTGTCACAAGGAATACACATGTGAAATATGAAAGTCATAGCTCCAACCAATCAAAAGTTATGGGCAAGGTTAAAGTTGACAACAGACAGACAGACAAACAGACAAACGGACACACAGACAAACGGACAAACGGACAAACAGACAAACAGATAAACAGACAAACAGACAGACAGGACAAAAACAATATACCCCCGGGATCTTTCGATCCGGGGGCATAAAAAAAGCAGGGAAAATCATGCTTGTTAACTTTTGATAAGACAATGGCCAGTCTGGCTAAATTTATGAGAGTGTCTATTTCTGATCAAGTATGAAAGTCCTTGGCAAACAATGCCACTGACATCTGCATCTCTTACCCCATAACACCACCTGCCCAACAAATGATGATTAGAAGGGTCTGATGGATTAAGTTGTATTGCACGCTCTATATGTTCCTGCAAAAGATAAATTTGATGATCCAGGCAATATGACTGCATATGCTAATCACTAACAACCACTTCTTTATTATACATGTATACTTAAATTCATGCTTAAATATTTGATATTGTCAGTATACATTAATATTACCTTAAATATATAACCATTCTTAATCTTCTCCTGTGTGGATTCATAGTCACCAATACTTCCTAATGTTATGGCAAACCTGCAAAAGTTTATCATTCATGATATCATTATAATTTTGATCTTATGTTTTAGAACAGAGGTGAAAATATTTGTAACAACACATAACTCTGAATGTAAAGTCATGCTACGTTTTCTCTACAAGTAACCAAATCAAATTTTTAACAAAAATCAAATCAAAAAATAAACCAAAAATGAGCCTAATATATCACTGAGATCTTGGATATAATGTGGAAGTAAACATCTAAAACTACACACTTTATATACTGAAACGCAAAAGAAACGCAACATGCTATTTTAGGGGGAAATATATATAGGATATAATTTTGAATCTAAAAAGTAAGGACATCTTCAACTTTGTAAATATTGGTAATTTAACAGTTGAATGATTTTCATACCATTACCGGAAGTTAAGTTTGAGTCCGCTTAACAGAAATCAAAAATTGCATGTTTAACAAAACATTTGGCAATAATATAGGGTTTTAAGGATTTGTATCTGTTCATCATAAGTAATGCAGCAATGTTCCGAAAAATAAATTCTCCTTTCTTTTCCAAAAGCGATGCCAAGGCTTCCTAAAAATGACTTAAGTATGCATTTCCATTGCTCTAGCTGGAAAATCTCAAAATAAAGGTGACTGAGAGTTGCAGATGCAAATATGCACCACATCACGCCTCAACAGGCCTGTTGAGGCATGAATGACAGTCCTTGGACCGGAAGTCCAAGGGTTACTACACTGCGCTTAGCTAGAGAAAATTCGACCTCATCATCTGAAAAACAGGCATTTAAAAATGGCAAAGAATATTTCTTTCGCTCAGATCTCGATATTGATGAACCTACTGCATTGTAGAAATCAAGCTGCAACTGTTGTACATGGCAGTCTTGCACGCTGTAATTGAATGGCTGGGGTGGTGGGTGTTTTAACATTCATGTGTTACTTTCTAAAGTTAAAAGATAATAATTTAGCATTTTTATCAAATCTCTGATGTTTTTAAATCGAGTTTTACCTTACTGTATTCATTTTTGAAAATCATTAGATCAAAAATTCAAATATTTGTAGATTACTGCTTGTTGCGTTTCTTTTGCGTTTCTGTATATATATATATAAAATCGCCATCCATTGTGTGATTATACTGCACTCATAGAAGAATTCAATCACAAGTCAACAAAGGCTCAAAGTAAAAATTAAAGCCTAGTACATGGTGTACTGATATATTCAATCAGTCTCTCACTCCCTTACATTGAAACCCTCTCATTCCTACTCAATCCCTGTATTGTCATTGCTTCCTTTTTGCTGCCGTCTTTGCATTCTTGGCCCTTCATGTTTTCATTCTTTCACCATGAGGGCAATGAAGCAAAGGACTTTGGGAGGTAGAGTGGCCTTATAAGCACACCATCATATAGTCAGTGACTATATAGTCAGTGACTATATATCCAACTCTCATCTACAGAATTTATATTCAATTACCATTTATGGGCACTAGCACATTTCTCATCCATGGCCACTGCTTTTTGAGACAGGTCTTTGGAGGCATACACTAACTGTTTCTTCTTATCCGGATTCCCCCTGCTTCCCTCAATCTGTGCAACTTGGTATGTACTCTTGGCTAATCTCCAACAATACTCTACATTGTCAACAAACTACAAAACAATAATATGCATACAAAAATACTGAAGATAATATTCAGATATGTCACAAAATTATTATTATAAATACATTTTTCTTAAACTGTCAACCTTACATAATGGCATGCATGCAAACTACTGATATGTCTATACTTTAAGATACACTTAAAATGATAAAAAAAAAATCTAGTAACAAAACATTTAGATTTTCAGTTAACTTTAATGTTAAGAACAGGTCTTATGTGCTCAAGGCACAGAGGAGTAAGTAAGTAAGTAAATAAAGAACATGTTTATTCTAATACCCTCTCTTTGTTATTTTGTAGCATTTCATAAGCTCTTAATTTATCTTCATCAGTTCCATCAAAAAGTTTGTCAACTTCCTTGAAGAAAGTATCTGTGTCATCCTTCCTTTCCTCCTGTTGCTCTTCCCAGCCAATTCTTGTGTTCATTTGTGTATGGATTTCTGTCTGAAGGTCATGAAAGTTGTGGAACTCATAATCTGACCTTTATAAATAGAATTCATAATGATAATTTTTATCTCTGAAACTTTGCTTTGCAAATAATGCTCATTAAAGAATTTTTACAGTTTTAATTTGGTGTTGTCCCAATCACTGGTACTGGAGTTTTCATATGTCCATTTTTATGCCCCCGGATCGAAAGATCCCGGGGGTATATTGTTTTTGTCCTGTCTGTCTGTTTGTCTGTTTATCTGTTTGTCTGTTTATCTGTTTGTCTGTCTGTCTGTTGTCAACTTTAACCTTGCCCATAACTTTTGATTGGTTGGAGCTATGACTTTCATATTTCACATGTGTATTCCTTGTGACAAGACCTTTCTTTGGGTACCATCATATTTGACCTTTTGACCTTGGAGTTTGACCCACATTTGCAAAATTTTATGAGACTTTAACCTTGCCCATAACTTCTGAACAGTTGGTGCTTGGGGTTTCAAACTTCACATGTGTGTTCTTTGTGACAAGGCCTTCCTTTGGATACCAACAATTTTGAGCTTTTGACCTTGACCTTGGAGTTTGACCTACTTTTGAAAAACTTTAACCTTGGCCATAACTTTTGAACAGTTGGTGCTTGGGGTTTCAAACTTCACATGTGTATTCCTTGTGACAAGGCCTTCCTCTGGATATCAACCTCTTTGACCCTTTGACCTTGACCTAGGAGTTTGACCTACTTTTGAAAAACATTAACCTTGGCCATAACTTTTGAACGGTGAGAGCTAGGGCTTTCATACTTCACATATATAATCCTTGTGACAAGACCTTCATTTGGATAACAACCACTTTGACCTTTTGACCTTGACCTAGGAGTTTGACCTACATTTGAAAAACTTTAACCTTGGCCATAACTTTTGAATGGTTGATGCTAGGGCTTTCATACTTCACATATGTAATCCTTGTGACATCACCTTCCTTTGGATACCAACCTCTTTGACCCTTTGACCTTGACATAGGAGTTTGACCTACTTTTGAAAAACTTTAACCTTGGCCATAATTTTTGAATGGTTGGTGCTAGGGTTTTCAAACTTCACATATGTAATTCTTGTGACAAGACCTTCCTTTGGGTACCAACCACTTTGACCCTTTGACCTTGACCTAGGAGTTTGACCTACTTTCGAAAAACTTGAACCTTGGCCATAACTTTTGAATGGTTGGTGCTAGGGCTTTCATACTTTACAACTGTAATCCTTGTGACAAGACCTTTCTTTGGATACCAACAACTTTGACCTTGACCTTGATGTTTTACTTACTTTTAAAAAACTTTAACCTTCGCTAGGGCTTTCAAATTAAACATTTTTTATCTTTTGGCCTGGATTTTGACTTGCATTTGAGAAACTTTAACCTTCGCCATAAGCTGCCATATAGGGGCATCAGTGTTTCACAAACACATCTTGTTATTTTTAATTTTGGAAAAAGTAATTTTGGTAAGGCTAAATATGAGGATAATAAGCAATTATTGAGCTGTATGTAATTCTTCTTTAATACTGATGCAGTGAATGAGATCTGACGACAAAATTCATGACAGGTTTTAGTATTAGACCTACTAAAACATTATAAATCATTACAAGTGTTCACTCTTTTCAGTATTTGGGTGAAGAGGAAATTCGAAATGAAATGTATACCCTCCATAAGCATCCTCATATGCATCATCGTCTGTCTCTCCACTGCTTGAAGTGGTGCCATAAAATGCAGGGCTCTTCCTTTTACGTTTGACAACCTTCTCCTTCAATTCCTCAACCTCTTTCCGAAGACTGGAGATAGATTCAGAAATAAGTCGTAACTCTCTATCAACATTCGTTGTAAATCGAAAATAAATCAGTGACCCTCCGACTCCTATAACTATCCCCGCTCCCAGCCCCCCAAGAAACAAAGAATTATGTCTGAGAAACGTTGACATCCTAAAACTGGCTAGATCTTGCGAAAGACTACGACATGAGTAGGAGGAGTGATCACTGTGATGAAGGCTTCGAGATGTAAACACTCGTACCGGAAATGAACTCTGATGCATAAAGGGAGTTCACTCTAGCATGACATCAATGAAAACACATTGTCTGAAGTGATACCAGATACTTTGATTGTGGTGATATCATTCATTATAGATACATGGAAAAGTTTAAGTGGGGTTTTCATTGTCATCACCAATAATATCGAGTGAAAACTATGATACTTAAAGAACTACTGTTGGAGATTCAGACGTAAACACTCGCAAGGGAAGTGCGTTAAGGGAGGTTACTCTTTTGTAAACACGGAGGGTGACAACTGAGGAGGGAGGCATTTATAACGTTTTCTCTGCGTTAAGCATCAATACAAAAACCAAGGGGAAAATGCCTTTTGTTTTGATTAGTACACAGATAAGACTGGTAATAGCTTTTGCAGTTATTTCTTGTGGAATCTTATCATAAAAAAAAAAAAAATTAAAAAATTTTTGAACTGCTCTTTTTTTTCAAGATGCTGACAAGAATATATTCATGGCAACAATTTCTCTTTACTACCTGATACAACTGAACCATTCGTTTAGGATTAAATTAGTTTTACTTCATTACAATGTTTATGGGAGAAATAAGTTTATAATTATTATATTTATACCCCCACTCCGAAGGAGAGGGGGGTATACTGTTTTACCCTTGTGTGTCTGTCTGTGTGTCCGTGTGTCTCTCCGTAACAAATTTTTGTCGCAGTTTTCTCAGCAACTACTCATCACAGATGATTGAAATTTTAGCACAATCTTTTTTTAGGCATGCCATATGGTGGGATTCATTTTTGTTTGAATCCAATATCAACTTCCTGTTTATCTGTGCGTCGTCTGTTCATAAAAAATTTCATTGCAGTTTTCTCAGCAACTACTCATCAGAGATGCTTGAATGGTGGGATTCATTTCTGTACGAATTTGATGTCAGCATGAGAGTGTATATTCACATCACAGTGGGGGTATTACTAGTGAGCATTCGCTCACAGACTTCTTGTTCTTTATGTTTATTGTTATTTCTAAGGACATATTCTATGATTCCTTATTTGTAAGAATTTTACTGTCAGGAAACTGGTCCAACAGTTTGTGGAGATGAATGGAGTGACCCAGATTTGATGGAATATCTTGGAGCCAGATTGACAAAAGCCTTAGGAAATAACTTGTAAGATATACTGTAGTTTATTATATTACATAAGGCACAGTATAAGTTTTCTGTGCATATTTCTGATTAATGGATTTTTGTTTACAGTAAAGAATACATTTCTGTAGACCCAGTGAGGATTATACTGGACAAGTTAGAGAAGAGGGGATACAAAGTAATAGCCATGACTGGTCTTGGTCAGACATGTATATGGACACTCCAAAAGGATTCACAAGATTCTTAGGATTGTGTTATGAAATATGCTTGACAAAATATATTTTTTGTATTAGTGAAAATGTTGTGAAAACAATTCATATTGTGCAGGATAGACATGTCTATAAATTTTCACATATCTACATTCCATAAATGCTTGCATGGATAATGCAGTGTTTAACAATAAATAATACAAACTTGATTATACCGGTTTATATGTTACATAGCCTGATGCATTATGAAATTGTGTCAGATATATGATACAAAAAAAGGCTATTTCTAAAAATTGTCTTTTTACTCCCCTACCACCCCATATTAAATTGAAAGGCCATGTCTTCATCTTTAAATCCCAGAATCTATAGAATAAATGTAAGAATGAAAGTTCAAATAGTTCTCTTTAATTGTTTTTTATATATAAAATTGTTAACATCCTCACTGTCTGGAAACTTGATTTTGAAATTAAAACCAGGAGGCTAGCTTCCTTTTCTGGCCAACTTAATATCTCTATAGATCTGCAGCAATTGTGGGACCAAAAGGTTGAATGGTACTCTTTGTGTCCTTAACATTAGTACAGAGATTCAGACCTACACGTCGTTCTACTTACATACAGGATATTTATACTATTCATTTTACGGTATATTGGCTTAATCCAATAAACCGGGATGATAATACGTGTATATTTACAAGGCTTGCTGAGCAAATTTACAAGTTGGTCCGTGTAGTACAAAATCACACAATTATAGAGGCTCTATTTATATCTGCAGATAACATATTTCAAAACATTTTCTACTACCATGGTATTCTCTTCATATCATTAAGTTTTGATTGAAATTTTTTTCTTTTAATATGCTGTGTCATTCTATGATGTCACTATCAAACAAAGTGAAACAAAAAGGTAAATTTTCCAGATGCTTTTTGAATGAGGCATACAAAATGAAAGCTAGTCACTATACATCTATCACATCACAACTTTGTAGACAGGAGATGCTGACTAAAAATATTGCACTGAAAGTATTTCTACAGAATTTTTGGTACATGTACAATAAAATCTTGGTTGGTAGGGAGTTACTTCACATAAAAAAGTAAGAAAATATATAAGAAATACTTCATATTCTACCATTATTCACAGGAAGTTGATAAATTGAGTGGATTGTGCACATGTGTAAGTAAGTTTGACTATGGTACATGTGTATGAAAAGTTTAAACTTTATACTGTTGACAATTTTTTCTGCCTGGGATTAATTTACACTATGTACATGCGGTCAAAAATTTTGTGCAGAAATTTGTTCATATAAAGCATACTTAAAGTGTGGTCAAGACATAAAATGGCAATTCAAGAAATCTGCGAAATCTTCACCAGTGGAATAAACCAATATTGTGATTCTGCAGAATTATGACCCCATGGAAACAAGATGCCCACATACCACAATGCTCACCTGAAATACTTTAGCCCTGCTGTTTTTCCACAGATTTTTATACTCTCTTGAAAAATTGTGACCTCATATTATGGTCCAACCATAACTTTTAGACTAAGGGGTCTTTGAATTCACACATCATGGGGATGCTTCAACATCAATATGACTAACATGACTTTGCAGTTATGAAGAAGAAAATTTGCTCCTGAATTTAGCCAACTCTAATCCGGGGTCAATAATTTAAAAAAAAAAATGAAAACACAATATGGGAATGTTTGCAAATTCATGGCTCTGTTGTGTTTCTTTACAAGACTTAAACAAAAATTTCTTATATTGTTCTATGTGAAAATTTGATACCCTGTTGTGGCCCCACGCTACCCCCAGGGGCCCTGAGTTGAACACTTTAAATCTACACTACATCTGGCATCAGGAAGCCTTAAAAATTTACATAAGTTTCATGTTTTCTGGTTTGGTGGTTCTTGAGAAGAAGATTTTGAAAGATTTTCCTATATATTTCGATGTAAAACTTTCATCCCACCCTACCCCAGGGTCCATGATTTGAATAATTTACAATCTACATTATGTCTGGAAGCTTTCACATAAATTTCATCTTTTCTAGTCCAGTGCTTCTAGAGAAGATTTTAAGATTTTTTTTTTATATATTTTAAAGCAAAACTTTGATCCTTAATTGTACTGGCCCGACCTTACCCACAGGAATCATGATTTGAACAATTTAAAATCTACCCTTCCTCAGGAAGCTTGCACATAAGTTAACCTTTTCTGGCCAGGTGGTTCTTGAGAAAAAAATTTTTAAAAAGATTTTTCTTACATAATTCAATGTAAAACTTTCATCATCTCTGACCTTATCCCCAGAAATCATGATTTGAACCATTTAGAATCTACATTTATACATAAGTTTAACCTTTCCTGGTCAAGTGGTTACTGAGAAGATTTTAAGATTTTTCTTATATATTTCAATGTAAAACTTTCATCCCCATATTGTGAGCCCACCCTAACCCTGGGGGTCATGATTTGAGCAATTTAGAAACTGTGCTTCCTCAGGAAGCTTCCACAAAAGTTTCGCCTTTTCTGCCCTGTGGTTCTTGAGATGATTATTAAGAATTTTCTTATTTCAATGTTAAATTTTCATTCCCGACCTCATCCCCTGGAATCATGAATCTTCACCTCCATATAGGTTTCACCTTTTCTGGCCAAGTGGTTACCAAGAAGATTTTTAAATATTTTTCTTATTTATTTCAAAGTAAAACTTTCATCCCCATATTGTGGTCCCACCTTATCCCTGGGGGGTCATGATTTGAACAATTTAGAATCTACACTTTCTCAGGATAATAGTGTTGATTCAAGTTTGTTCAGAACATGATCCAAGGGGGTGGGGGTGGGGAGGAGGGGACCTCAATGGGGATTTTTTTTTTTTTTTTTTTACATAGGAATATACATAGGGAAAATCATTAAAAATCTTCCTCTCAAGATCAAAGCCATGATTGGTACAGTAAAACTCGTTTAGTACGAACACTGATATAGCGAATTTATGGATATAGCGAAGTTTTTTTGCAATCCCCAGTAAATTGCTTAACAATTCCTTGTAAAATTTTACGAACTCAGATATAATTAATTTACGGCTATAGCGAACTGATTTTGTTTCCCCTAGAAGTTAAATATAACAAAATTGACATCTTTTATAGCGAATTTTAAAAGATATTAATTTTTAAAATATTGAACTGATAATAATTTTTTAAGTATAAATATTTAAAACTCAATACGCGAGTTTCGAGATTGTAACTCTCCAACGATAGAGGCGCAAAAAGTATCCATATCAGCATGGAAGTGGGACAGGTTGTTAATGTATACAAATGTGCATAAATAAATGAACGATGGCTATGGCTTTTAAAATTCATTTCATGTTATAGAAAGGTGATAATGCTAAGAAATGATCATTTTGATGGTTTTATAAAGCCCTACTATACATATTTACAAAATTTACTATCATTTAGAATACTAGAAAACGAAAGAACCGTCATAGTCTTTTTAAGAAAATAATTCTTTGATCGTATACAAACCTTTTCTAAAAGGTTATTGGGCTCTTTGAAGTTACAAGAGTCATTCAGAATGCCGACGGACAATGATCAGATGTGTGTGTATTTATTAGAGATCCATATCTCTTCCCTCGTTTGATATTCTCATCCACTGATATTTTCTTTTGTTCCGATTTTTAATTTCTTTTGTTCCGAGTTTTTGTTCGCAGAAAAAATTGAAGCCTTAACTTTAATTCAGTTATTTTCGAGTTGAAGATTGCATCCCGACAACAGTTACGATGGTATATCGATGATGTAATGTATCACATATATAAATAACTGTCCCACCTACTTGCTTACGAGGGCACAAAAATCCCCTCCGTAACGAAAGAGCGCACCAAGGGAGATAATCTCGAAACTTGTGTATTCATTCTAAAACTTTTGAACTCCAAGATAATTTTTTTAAAATAAATTTTAAACGTCCCTAAATACATTTGGTAGTCATGTTTGAAGGAAAAAATTGATATAACAAATTCGCTATGCATACTTTAACAAATTCGTTATACGGATATAACGAATTACGGATATAGCGAAGTAAATTCGCAGGTCCCCAGAACTTTGCTATAACCGAGTTTTGCTTTAATATTGATATGATGCATTCAAAGGTAGTGTAGATTCAAATTTGTTTAAATCATGACCCCTGGGGGTATGTTGGGGCCACAACGGGGGGTCAAAGTTTTACATAGGAATATATAGAAAAAATCTTAAAATCTTCTTCCCAAGAACAACAAAGCCATGATTAGTCATACTGATATGGAAGCATTCTCAGATTCAAGTTTGTTCAAATCATGACCCCCAGGGTAGGATGGCACACATCTTTTAAAATCTTCTTCTCAAGAATATCAAAACCATGATTAGTCAATATGAATAACGAAGCATCCTCAGATAGTATAGATTCAACTGAAGTTTGTTCAAAATGACACCTGAGGGTAGGGCGGAGCCATATTGACCCAGGTGAGCATTGTAGCCCATGGGCCTCTTGTTGTCGATGAAGTGCTCATTTTTTGAAGGGCAGGCCTACTCTAGAAAAAGTTTAGTAACTTTGAAAGGTTTTAAACAAAGATTATTTTAGCAAGTTTGAGCTTAGAGCATGGAAGTAGCAAGTGTGGCCTGCTGTCTCTCATGCCAATCTGCAAGTTACAGCTCTTTATACATGTACTGACAATGAGAACAATAAGAACAGTTGAAGTATTGGCTAGGTGGAAAAGAGGGAATTACTAAGACAAAGCTCATAACATCTGGATAAAGATACAAAAAAAATTTATAAAGATACATAACCCTGATTTACCAAACTAGATAGGAATAAGAAGTACCGCATAACAGGTTACCGTATTTTCACAATAGTCCAATTTTCACTTTCTTTGTGAGCAATTATAGATTGCAAAAAAAGGACTCACTGATAAGAAGTGTATGGATTACATAGGCAACTTAAACCATGGTAAGAATCGCAAAAATGGGACACTGCAAATTAAAAATAACTGTTTTGGGATCTTTTTTGTCAAATTTGTAATGCACAGAAAAAAACCTTATACAAGATTTTCCCAAACTGTATTTAGCACATATTGCTTTAGACAATAACGACTTTAAATACATTTCACTTATTAGCTAAAACTAAAACTTTTCATTTCGTCTTTCAGGAACAGTTAACAATAACTGCAAAGCCATTTTTTGCAATTTGTTTATATTAGGGAGAGGGACTAGAGAATTTACTGAACTTAATTTCTGAGGTCATAAGCTTGAATCAAAGGGATATGTCAGTTTTGTTGGTTTGGATGAGAGAATGATATGAATGAATGGAATATAGTTGTGATAAACCCAGAATACTGCAAACTTTGGACATCAATGTCTTGGTGCAGACCATCGAACAGCGGCAGCCCTTGGTAATCCCCCTCAGCAGATGGTGGACATCAGTGTCTCTGGACAGTTGACCGACAGTTGGCCCTCCTCTTTGACAACAGCAGACATCATTGTCTCAATGCGTTTTTTTAGGAGGCCCTCGAAAACCTACCTCGGGATACATCTAAAAATGTTTCTTTTGCTTCAAACTCTACTTACGAAGTGATCTTTTCCAGTTCTTTTTCTTGAAAATGAAGTTACTGCATTTTTTTTCAGCCTAAAATGCTTTCCTTCCTAATATCCAACACAAAAAACTAGAACGCAGTCCCTATATGGGCATCTGATTACTGTTCAATCAAAGTGTTCTGGCCTTTTTGTCAATCCTTTAAATAAAAGGAAACTTTTCCTGCCATTGTAGTTTTTGTAATTCCATAAGATCAGCTATTATACAAGAGATAAGAGGTTAGAATAATTTGTGATTCTATTCTTTGCAATTTTAAATTCACTGAAAAATAACAAAAATTGGACAACTGAAGAAATCACTTCTTATATCATGGTCTTTATTGTTCACTTGTGGATTACTCTCCTTTGAGCATCTTTTTTAAAACTCTGGCCTTTTCCAATAATAGTATATTTAGCATCTAAGGAAAGCATCTCAAACTCAACACATCTTAATTTTTCACTATTTATATATTAAACATGCATAACATGATAGGCCACATAATTGCAAACATTAAGTAATTTTCTTTTTTGGATACTTATAACTATACTATATTTATACAATCATGTAACGTAAATATTCAAATATCCAGAGAATGAAAACTTTTCATTCATGTATATTTCAGAATTGTTGTGTCATCATATTCTGCATATTTTACACCAATGACTTATGTATCAATACACATGAAAACAAGAAATAAAATTATCAGCTTCTTAAATTAACATATAAACAACCATTATATATGATAAATAGGGGAACCTGTACCAATGATACAATTCACCTAATTTGGATACCTCATAATCATTAAATCAAAGTTTTTAAAATACCATACTACATGTACATCAATTACAATTTCACAGTTGATTGAAACATATGATTAAGAGAGTGGACATGAAGCGAGTTAAATCTCTTTAACCTTCATTAACCCAAGTAACATGCATTTCTACCATCTTTTTACTCTACTGTGAGAATGAATCCCCCCCCCCCCCCCAGCAGTAAAAGCAGTTAAGCCAATCATGTCTTCAGCATAGCTGAGATGCATTTTACAAGTTGAAAAACACATATAAGTATTGCTTACATGAATACCATTACATGTACAAGTACTATATAGCAGGTCCTACCATGTTCAGCTAAATTATTGCACTCTTTGGTAATATTTATATGGCACTAAAGAACTTTACTCTGTAATGACCAATATCTGCCCCCAAAAATCAAACTTTGATGTAAAAATCTATAATTATGTTCTAAATCAGAAGGATATCAGTAGACTTGGAAGCATTACCAGTTTTCATCAGCCATGACACCAATGTTAGAGATGTCATTAACAAGATTAAAAAAATTCAAAATTTCAATGATTTTGAGGGAATTTTGAGTCATCGAGCATACGTCTTGATCTTTTAATACAATGTGTAGAATTATAAATCAATGAAATACATCAATATTGTTCCGGGGCAAGCTTACACTCGTCACAGAAACAAGAACTGCTGCTGATCTACTTCCAATTATATTTTTTATATTTATATTTTTTATAATTATATTTTTTGTTAATTCAGATTTTACAAATACAATTTTGTACATTTCTAGAGATCTTCAAAATCTAATTGGTTTTTATGGAGGCAAAAATATGCTTTCATCGTATATAGTTCTTTATAGTCTCTTGTGATGTGCCATTACCAAGTTAGCAAAGGCTCCGATTTGATGATTTTTGACTAAAGGTGTATTGGAATTATCAAAATATGTGAACAACAGAATATATATATCCTTGTATATGATATCTAAATTTGTTTCCTACCACTCATCTTTGCTTAGTGATTCAGATACTACTGGTAATAAATAAGGAACCAATCAAAGAAAACTTATAAATACTTATGTTTCTTCCCTGACACTGCTTCCTCATTTTACTGGAATGAAAACAGCTTCTACATCTGCAGATCCAAAAGATAAAAGAGCCAACATTCACTTTGTGCATAAAACAACCCTGACAATATGACTATCAATCAGTCATCATCCTATATCCAATCATTGAACTTCAATACAAAGCATAGTCTTCATGCTTTCGATGCCTCTAAACTATTTCCTTCCTGGAGTAAGTAGACTTACTGCAGAAAAGGAGCTTGTAAAATTGCAGTTTTTGAATTTTATAGAAATTGCATATAGGCCTATTGGAGTGCTCTGAAGTGTTGCCTGAAATTCATGAGAAGGCTACAATGACACAATCTATGAAATTATAAAACAGAGACTAGGAAGAAAATTCTATCACATCTGTCATAAATGTGGTCATCGTTGGGACCAAAATAATAATTTAAGTATTGGTTAGTAAAACTGAGCAGTCTTTCATAAAGTCAAATAATATCCATTGCAGACCTTGATCTTTAAATCTTGAAAGTGTGATTAATACATTATACAAGTAACATAATGAAATAATGAACCTAAACCTGTATTTTGTAGATGCAAATTTAACAGGAAAGGAGAAAATTTATGGCTATAGACAAGGAATATAACCCGGGACTCCTGCATCACTAATTAGGGGCTAATCACTGAACTATCCAGGCCAATATCCACAGTCCATATAATCCAATCCCTACATTTCTCCCTCCTTGTCTTTGCCCTTGAAGACACTTAACCCAGATTCTTTGACCCCTGGCAGGACTTGCACCTGAAAGTTCAGGGATCTGGAATCGAACCTGGGGATCCTCGCATTACTAGTAAGGTGTTCAAACCACTAATCTATCAAGCTATTCACGGTCCATATAGCCCAAACCAGTTCATAAGGTTTGCAGTCATGTAACATCTAGCTAGAATGCACACATCTTATATACAAAATCTAAAAATTTACAATACATTTTATGATACAAATTCAGGGAACACAAATAGTGATAATTCAGAAGATCAGTAATAGTATCCTGTATAATTGCAATCATTAGTTTTTAAGCCTTGAGACCTGGTGAGTGGATTGTAGGACCATTTACTGGAACAGTAATCAGCTCAACATTCAATTAATTTTCAGAGCTGTTTCAAGATAATTGTAATTCAGTTTCATTTAATAACAAAGTTTAGAATAAATGAAATGCACAAGCTCACTGATACTTTATGCAAAATAGAGGTTAAAAAAAGATTTTAAAAAACCATGCAACCAACAAAATGAAACAAAACAATCACAGTGCTATAGAATAAACAAGCATGGTTTGTGAGTTAACAAAATTCTTTAATAATTAAACTCTAGCTCACTTATTTACATTGGTGTGTGGTTATTAATAAATTAAATGAATCCTTAACTGATTTATACTTAATAGATAACACACAAGTCACAGTTAACATCTCAGCTATGCAGTCTTACACAAAAGTTAATCTTATTCAATTATACAATGTAACATACACCAATGCCAAATTCAATTATTTCTATTAGATGGACTACCCAACTACTATATACAGGTATGGAAGATTATGCACATACAATATTACTTTGGCTACTTTGGGTTAACCAGGGATATAGGTTTTTTTTTATAATTACAAAAAGTAGATACATTCTACTTGTATTGCACTTAAATAAAAACACTGACACTGTTGGTAGATTACAGATTGCTATACATACATGTACATATTATTTATAATAGCAATTTTAATTGATGTTTACATATTATTTATTACAGAAATTTTCTTTCTATATCATTTTTGGGGGGGCATGCTCCTAGCCATATGTGTACAAATAATTTGACATATATCTTGCTACCTACATTACTTACAATACTGGGTAACATGAAGCCATAAAACTATCAGAAAGCAATGCACATCTCTTAGTACTTTCATTACTGAATTTCCATTTATGCACAATCATTTGCTTAAGTTAAAGAACTGTCAGACATTTATTGCAAGTGAAAAGTCTATAAAACAATTTTGATACTATACAGGGTGGAAATCTATGACCCCCCTAAAAAAATTATTAAAGATCTATCATGTAATGAGCATCTTATTCCCTTTTTTTAAGGTATGGTTCAAATCTTGTGGCACACAATATTGGAGGTATTCTCTACATTTAGAAACTATCAGTCTAAGCTTTATCAGGTTCTTTTTTAGCAACAAATAAATAGCTAGTACACATTAGATCATCATAACCCGGTCCCCTCCCCCAATTTTACATGATCACAAAGTACAATTCCTAGACATAAAATCAAGACACACATGAATAAAACTGAACATCTACAGATTGATTATCACAGGACAGAACATGCAACACATAAAAAGCAGCATTTATGACTTGAAACTCTAAGCCACCATCATGATACCAGTTAAGCAACATCTTATGTTAAGTGGGTTTTGTCATTTTCCTTATTGATGCATTGAAAATGGTCTCTTCATGTTGTTCCTTATGGATGGTAAATTAAAGTCAATGGTAAATTGAGTAAGATATTAGATATGTTGTTAAAATTTTTCCTTTTTCTTGGAAGGAGGAATAAGATGGTCCGGTAACTCCGCTGGTAAGTCATGGCCTTCCAACTTAATCTTTATAAGATGGTTTGCCAGAGCCCACTCATCAGTGTCCAACATTCCATCCTTGTCAATGTCTGCCAATTTCCAGATTTTTCCTAGAACAGAATTGGGTAGCTTGCTTTTGACCATGGCTTGCTTGGCTGCAGCACCAGTGATTTTCCCATTAATTGGGTTCAGCTTATCAAACTCTTCATCATACTCCATCTTGTTTTGGTTGACTACCCATTCCCTTTCACCTCTTCCTTCATCAACACCTTCTCCTCTACCATATCCAAACATGCTCTCATTCATGGTATCAAATGCTCCACCTTTTACTTGTGGCTCTTTTGACATGACTGCTTCCTCATTTGGAATCATTTGCATCAGGCGGGCAATGTCCGTAGCCAACATCTGGTCAACAATTTCTACAAGTTTGGGCTTAAAAGCATGGAATTTGGTGAAGTCATGATGCATTAGTTGTTCTTGCATGCGTTTCATGTCTGGGAAATCTCCAAGAGATATCTGATGGTCTCTCTGTATTCGGCCATAAATGTCTCCCAAATTCTTGATCAATTCTTTTTTCTTGCTGTCCTTCCCAAACATGGAGGGCATATCTTTTCGGAGTTCACTGATAATATATGCATGGACCTGAAATAGGAAATAACACATATTAAAGAGCATTCAACAATGTGTGTCTTGAAACCTTAACGGGAGACAAAATCAAGTACAGCAAAATTTAATGTTATAAATTAGCAAGATAACCTGTTTCACCCAGGTCACACACACTGATTTTGCAAGCACATGATGATGACACTCTCAAATAACATTTTTCCCTGGAGAAAGTGATTTGGGGGGGGGGGGGGAAGCTTGTGTTAAAATGTCAACAACTCTTTAGTTTCACTGTTCTCAACCTTACATTCCTAAGCATATATAAATCACAGACAATGTTCAGTAATCTTTGCAGGGCCATAAAATTTCACACATTCCATAGTAAATTTATGCAAAAAATTTAATATCATTTTCATGAAACTTAAAACCATATGTAGGTAAGAAAAAGTGAGCAAGTGTATACTTAGCGGCACTTATTAAACAAAGCTGAAAAATATCTACCAGTATCATTTGCACAAAAAAGGACAAGGTAGCTACTTTATCTTTTGTCCAGCAGATAATTTGTGTATTAATTATTAACATATTAGATATAGTAATGTATTGGTCCATTGTCATGACATTGTTATTCATACAAATATGTGTATTTTACCCATGTGTATTATTTCTACCATGTTTTCCTAATACACCTGTTACTTCAATACAACTAATTTGTAACCTCTACATTTATGTCAATTTAAACCATGGCCAAAGGCATTTATTTTCTGGGGGCCAGCCTACAACATGAACAAGATCTCATAAAATGAGAATACACATACACCTAACTTCCTACATCTTAGCAACATGGATGTTAAGTATCTAAACGTAATTGACACATTTATGTTTAAACACAGAATTTAACATTAGGTGCCATTTGAATAGAGATCTATCTATCAAGAGTATTGAGTATTTCCATGAATGCACAAATTGGGGTTGTTGCTAAAAATATATCATTCTAAATCATTGAACATCAAACAAAGAGAAACGTAACAGATCAAATGAGGAAGACAATATGAAAATAAGGAAAAGAAATATAAGTAACCTCTATTAAATATGAAGTGGTGTTGCTCAATATGTAAGATGAGGTATCATTTTGCCTCTAAAAAAATAGTTCTTATATGCTGTGTTCATCTTATGTAAATTTTGTCTGTACTTATGCTTAGGTATATGATATGTGTGATGTACATCTTATATATTGTACCTGTACCAGTACAGTCATCATGGTCATGATTTAACATTCTAATTAAATTTACATGTCTGAAATGCATCTGTTACCAAGTATTTTTATTTGAACATCTGTACACAATCTATGCAATATTCACAGATATATAAACATATATTTTTGTCTGATTATTAAGTAACTTCCTGAAAGTGACACTGTATACAAAAGAGCAAGATATGAAAAAAGTTTTCTTCCCTACAGCAAGGTAACATTATATATATATATATATATATCACAATTAAACCTAATACATGCACGAAGCTCGATCTTGATTATATATATCACTGAACGTTAACCAGCTTGAAATTGCCACACCTAGGAGTGCGTCTGGTAAAATCTGCTTAAAAATTCCATGCCTTTCCTTTATATGATGTTGAGCAATGGTGTCAATTATTAAAAATATCACGGTTTACAATAATAATAATGTACTGCTTCATAATTTTCTTTTGAACACCAGTTTGTCTAATTTTACCATTTTACTATAAATGATAGAAATAAGAATTATAGATGAAGAGTGTACGTATGTGAATGATATTGTATCTTTTGCCAGAACCATGTAAATTGACCCCCACTATAAATTAATAATACCGTAATCATTAAAAATAAGCACTTGTCATGACAACCTTTTGAAATGTTATTCTTATGGCTATGAGTCAAAGTCTGTCTCTCACAGATAGCTCTGTATATTATGTAAAGTTACAAAATGGCACTTATTAGGCCCACATATTAATTTAAATTATGGAATTTACAATTCTATTTCCTTACACTTTGACCTGCATTCTCATTCTACAACCTGTAAGAAGTATATATATATTTATTACATTTTCAACAGTGAAATACTGTGATTTATTTATTGAATAAAAGTGATATTCTCTCACAGTGTGAAAGAATACCAAAATGATATTCTCTCACAGTGTGAAAGGATATCAAAGTTAGTAAAAACTAATTTCTGGCATGTCATAAGATAGAGATACCTACTAAACATCTTGATAGAGGTAAAACTGCAATTTTCTTCCCAACTATGATGCTAAAATCCATGCTATGTAATGTTTTCAATCTCACAACTGCTAAGCTATGACGTCTCAATCGCTCAACTATGATGTCAAGCCTAGCTATGACACTGTGTTAAGAAAAGACAGAGGCAAAGGGAAAATCAAAGAAAATGTAATAAACAGAAAATTCAATGTTTTGTAGATGAATATGGAATTTATTTCACTCGTGAGACAGGATTTTATTTTATATTTTCACTCGTGCTTCGCACTCGTGAAAATATAAAAAAATCCTGTCCCACTCGTGAAATAAATTCCATATTCATCTACAAAACATTGAATATCCTCTATATAATCATAATGCATTGAAAAAAATCTTCAATACAAATAAGGTGATATAATATGTAAATAAGTTTATACAGTATCCTGACAAACTAGATCAACATTCTGATTCATCAACATGGTATTAAATTAGCTTTCACCAAAATCACTTGAATTTTAATAAATGTTCTGACTCAAAAGCAGGTTATTCTTTACAACTTCTTCACAAAACTTCAATAATTGGCAGCATGGAAACAAATATCTTTTTCTACTATATTTTGACTTTCAATATAAGGCTGTGTGGTGCTTAAAACTCGACTCAAATCACAATGTCAAATAGTGATATACCGGTATGCTGAGTATTTATCTCATGTCAATTCATGCTTCAATAGCATTGAAAAATATTGGTAAATTCCAATAATTTTAATCGGTAATTAGAGCATTTTCTATAATTAAGCAAGTCTAAAGTGTGAGTGCATGTATTATCAGCAACAGCTGATAGCCAAAATATTGTTGGAAATATCTATTAAACCTGTTCATTCATTTAAAAATAAAAGTCAAATCATCACAAATAGCATATAACTGAAAGTATGCATGTCCAGGGATTTTCTACTGCTCAGTGTAGGACTGAATTTCGGCACAATTCCTAGCTGCAGATTTGTTGCTTGCTAGTCTGAAAAAAATTGGGATGGGTAATCAGAGAGCTCCAGTGCCACCCATTGAAAAAAAAAAATGTATATTAATTTTTATAGTGCACAAAAAAAGTGTGCTATTCTCTCCATCTATTTCTTCATATATTTAAGCTGCTATCTCAAAATATTACTATTAGCATATGTTCCAAGCATATTCTTTTACTACTTCCACAACAAAACATTCCCCAAAACTGTTGTTAAAGCTGAACACGACTCGTAAATAGGCATACGCCATTTTCAATATTACTATCTACGATATCAGCACCGGGATATACTTTTCATATTCATTCCATGTCACGGGTATTGGCGTGGAATGGACCCCTGTGTTCGTGCTGGTTATCTTGCATTACCTTTGTTTACATTTTATCGCAGTTACGTGTATTTGTGTTTGTTTGTATACTGCACTGACCTGTGCAACTGTTGTTTCTTTGGTATCTTTCTCTCCTGCATTAGAGGAAGTATACAGTAATGCTTTGTAGCTACTGAGTGCTGTATAGCATACGTCTGACTGTGACGACTGATTACACTGATTCTGAACAGTGACTGAGTGGCTTTATATAGGGGCCCTCAGATATAGGCGGACAAATTCCTTTTACGAATCGTGTTCAGCTTTAATATATAGCTTTTCTGTGCATGGAATTGAGATCATCGACAGATCTGCAGCTAACCATTTCCTAATTGCAAAGACCCTCTTTTTTTCCTGAAAACTTTCCCTTTTTTCCCCAAACAAGTCGCATTAAAAATTTGATCGGGATCCGATTACATTAAAACATGTACAGAGCATGGATGGAAAGACTATTTATACCATTTAAGGCTTTTGCCGAAGGCAACATGAGCTTTAAAAATTTTTTTTAAGTTAATAGGAAACAAAGTTAGAACTGTGTAATATGATTGACGTCAAGTGATAGTATGCTTATTTATACTAGGGTGTAACAATACTGTTAGAAAGTATCATGAAACATGTACATCTATATGAAATCGCAATATTTCACCTATCATATTTTGTGTTTAAAATATATTTATTCATTACAAATGAAATGGATTCAGGGATCGAAATTCACTATATACAACTCGAGTTAGAATTCCCAAATTGCGAGTTAAAAATTAGGTAACTCGCAAAAACTTGTGAGTTGATTTCTTTTTTGCATTGAAACTGTAGCAAAATTATATAATATGACAGAACACAATACTTTTGATTTAAATCAGTAATTTAAATAAAAGTCGCACTGTAGTTGTATTTTGTGTATTGTATAGTAGTTACTTTTTCCTTAAGTTACATGTATTTAATTTATATAAATTTAACTTTATATGAAAATTGGGAGTAGTCTTATAAAATTGTGAGTTCACTTTGTTGGTACTCGCAATTATTTGCGAGTTGTAATTTTAGGGTGTTTCTAACCCTGCGGATTGAACAGCAGGCATAATGCCTTTAATCGTTCTCTCCATGTTTGCTACCTCTTTTGAGGTCTGAATCTCCCTCTTTTTCATCACAGTTGGTATAGCAGGGGAAAAAAAAAATGAGATTTTGTATTTTACACATAATCCACATGTTTGGGATTTACTCTTGTTATATACCGGTAAAGAAAAAAGTACATGGGAACTTCTTTTCTTTTTCATGGCCAATGCTTACATCAATATATAGGAAAGTGTAAACAGTTTATATTCTAAAGGCAAAAGTCATTACAGCTTCCAGCGTGTTTCCAGCTTGTATAAATTCAGAGGATGCATGATTTGAAGCATTACACTATGCCTCAATGTCTAAAAGGCACACTCTAGTTAAACTGTTTAATAATGTTTGTAACTAGATGGACTGGTTATTAATGTGGCTGATCATGAGAATAGGAGTTTCCTCTATAACAAAAACAAGACTGCACAAGCAGTGTTGATTTTAACCAAGTCATTGACTCCTTGGCCATTCAAGCAATCACCAAGTAAACAGTGTATTCACCATTCCGCTTGTTTGATGAGGTTGTATGTAATTTATTCCTACTCTATAGCTACATGTATGTACAATTAGTTTATTTCATAAAACACTGCTCGTACTTAGCTAAACCACTAATTATATAAAATTACACTTCTTTCCACTAATATGTCAATTGACTTTAATTTAAGTTGTAAAAATTCTTTAAAGCAATTATCATATTTTAAATTGATATTTATCAGTTGTACTTCAATATCTTTGATCATTCTTCATACATTCATTACATGTAGCTGATTAGGCCTAAAAAAAATTATGTTTGTTTCCTGTAACATTCCCAAAAAATGAAGGGTCAGTAGGTCGGGATTTTTTTTTTTTTTTTTTTTTTTTTGCTTATGAAAGGGGTCAAACATCCCCGGACTGAATTAACTAGGTGTGATATTTACAGCAGACACCCAACATGGCCGTCTAGCGGCAGAAAATGAACTCCAAATAGTTGTGGGGGAAATGCTTGATGTTACAGAAACGATGTCTTTATACTTAAGGTAAATGTTGACTAGTTTGAGATATTTTATATCTCAAATAAAGTTACAATTAACATTTTTTGTATAAATTGAATCAGCTGATTGATCAGACACAGATTTGGCAGAAAAAAAAAAATCCACCCGGGGGTAATTTGAATGGGTCTGGTTACAGGAAACAAACATATCTTTTTTTTTTAGGCCTTAGCATGATTAACTTCGTCTAATTGTCAGGTTTATATTGAACCATATAGAAGTGAGACTTTCAAGACTACACATTTATTAACTAAAATAACTTGTATAGAGAAGCTTTGTTTCACAGCCTCTCCCATATACCCATTGACAAGATCCTTATTTTATCATTAGGGTTCACATCACTGTAATTACAGCCTTTCATTTAGGGATGAGTTCCAAAGTTCTATGTCTGACAAAAAAACTAATTTCACATACTTTTCATCAAGACCCTTTAAGGATGATTCCATATAAACATGACTTATCAAGGCTTTCCTGTTCTTGAAAAGATTCTTAAATTTTTTTTGTATGTGTTTCTATTGCCCATTGAGGTCTCACCCTACCACCTGGGGGATCATGGTTTGAATAAACTTGAATCTACATTAACAGTGGATGCTTCCATATACATGATATACATATATACATATGTCACTATTCATGACTCAGCTGTTCCTTGGAAATTTTTTAAAAATGTTTTTGCTGTGTTTTCCTTCATTATACTTTGATTGTCCATTTTGGCCCCACCCTAGGGCTGTGTTTTGAGCCAAAAATTTAGAAACAAAACAACACGATATTTTATAATGCGATATGCAATATATTAGATTCTTTAACAAGTCTATCAGAAAAGTCTTATAATCATTTAATGCATGAATTTTATAAAACTAATCGTTTTGTAACTACCTCCTTAATGATTATATCATTCTTGATCAATTTTAATTCAAAACATTTAAATATAATCTTTGGTGATTGAAATTTCCAACTTTTTTTTTTTTTTTAACAAAATTATGTGAAAAACTGCTTGCCCAATACTTATTGGAAGTTATTTTCTTGATATGATACATTCTTAAATATCAATACGTATCAATATATTGATACAGAACTACGGTCTACCCCACCCTACCAGGGGTCATAATTTGAACAAACTTGATTCTTTACTACAAGAGGATGATTCTGTGTAGATATGTACATATGACTGATCATGTTCTTGAAGAGAAGATTTTATTTACCGGTAAGAATTTACTTTATAAACCCATGTAAAACTTTGTTCACCCATAGTTGCCTCACCCTTCCCAGGGCTCTAAATAATTGATGGCCCGCTGGTCTGGGGCCAGTGAATTTTCAATCTGGGCTAGTACATTGCAGAGGGCATGTGCCCTTTGGGTCAGCATTTTTTATGCATAATAAAATTCATTCACAGTCGGGCTAGTTAACTTGACAGGGTTGTGTGTCACAACTTCTGCTGTTTCTTGTTTTTTAAGTTGTACTTCTAAGTATCACAATATAAAAATTAATATTACTATTATTATTATGGCTTTGGGCTAGTCTTTTTTTAATCTACTGGCCCAGAGGGACAGTGAAAGTACTAAGCTAACCAGTAAAAATTTAAGGCAATAGCCTGAGTGACCAGTAAATAAAAATAATTATTTCTAGCCCTGCTTCCCCCAGGGTTCATGATCTGGACAAGCTTGAATTTACACTATGTCAGATAGCTTACAAGTTTCATCTTTTCTGGCCCTGTGGTTCTTAAGATTTTTAAATGACCCCTTCCAATTTTTAATATTTTTTTATTATCTCCCCTTAGAGGAGGATGTGGCCCTTCATTTGAAAAAAATTTAAATCCTCCTTACCCAAGGATACTCTGTGTCAAGTTTGATTGAAATTTGCCCAGCTAGTGGTTCCGGAGAAGTTTATGAAAACAATGACAGACAATGGACAAATTTCGATTAGAAAAGCTCATTGAGCCTTTGGCTCAGGTGAGCTGAAAAAAATTGATGAATATTGATTTAAATTTTATTATATAAACAAATACCAGCTAAGTATTTATAACACTGTAAATAACTTAATTATTATAAGTAATATATATTAATTATTATAATTCATCAAGATTCATAACTTGTGACAAATTTGATCAATAAAAATGATTACCTTTGCTAATCTAGCTCTCTTTATAAGATCATTCAGCTTCCGCAGCGCAGCATTACGTGGCAAACTCTGAAGATCATGGAATAAATCTTGCTCTTCTAACTCGAAGAGTTTTCTATTCATATCAAAATGTAACGGATTGTCCCAAAAAGATCCTATGTAAACTCTGGCTACTTCTGGTGTATTTAGCACTTTTCCCAAAGACCACATCAGAGCTCCGTACACTCTCATTAATTGCTGATGATCCACCATATCAGCCTTGTTGAGAACAATACGGATTTTGTCATCATAGCCCTTTATGGCATCAATAGCCCTTCGAAACTCATCTGAAATGTCCAATTTGTGTGCATCAAACAAAAGAATAATTCTGTCAACTCGTTCTGCAAACCACTCGAGTACTCCTGCAAAGTCATATCCTCTATCCACCCTTTGCTTTTCACCAGAAAGGATTCCTGGTGTGTCAATAATAGATATACTGTCTAAAACTGGATTGTTTACCATTGAACACTGAAATCGGTTCAGGAAAGCATTTCCGAATTTTGAAAGAGGTCTGAACTGTTTTTTAGTGTCCACTACTAAGGCATTTCCAGGAATCACCCCCTCTTGGTCCCCATTCATCACAGCAATGAATCTATCGGTTGTTGGTTCAGGACCGATACGAATACCTGGAAAATCTTGTTCCAGCAAATACCTGATAAATGTTGTTTTTCCTGTAGAATACTGTCCGATTAGAAGAATCAGGGGCTTGGATTCAAAATCCGGATCTTCGAGGGGCGGGGAGTGAAAGTCGTGAAATTTGTAATGCTCCTCCAGAGGCAACAGCTTCGCCTTGTACAACTTTTTAAGTCCTTCTCCAACTGTTTCAAAAAATTCGGGCTCCTTGCGACGTTTTTCGTCGCCCGTCAACCACCGCAGCATCTTGAAGTTTTGGTTTCACTATACTCTCAGTTTTCCAACTTTCCTATTGACACACCGTCTGCCGAGTGGTGATACCGGAAATGATAACCAAACCTACATATTGCGCAAGTCAATGACCTCACAGAACCCAACCCCACTTCCCGCAAAATTATTTTCGTATGCTTTCTAGACCCTTCATACCTTTCAGATAATAAAACTAGAGAACCACCGTCTATTTTGAACACGTGACCGCAACGTAGAAATAGTAATGTTTTCATTTTGGCACAGCTGACACCCAAGGAAACTGAAGACTAAAAATCAGAACTGTTTAAGGGTTTTCTGTTTTTACCAACATTTAAAGCAAGAGTATGTCATTTCTGATAAATTATTTTAATAATATTTGCTAGATGGCGATGTTTGTCGTGTTTATATTCGTATAATTATCAACTGTTTTGTTGTCATCATCTATAAAAGGAAAGGATAAAAATAGAAATGAATTTTACTTATCATGCTTATGCGTCATGAAATGTTTTGGATGTTGACATAGTAAAAATTTTATCAAAGAAAAACAATATAATTATGTCATAGGTATATAACATAATAGAAAGGACAAAGACAGGAAGTTGACGAAAAGGGGGGGGGAGGTGTTGTTACATGTATTGTCATAACGCATACTGTTAACAGTCCAAATATTAAGCATTTAGAGTTAGGCTTTGTATATATTCTCATCATATCAAAAACACCTATGACAATTAAAAGGTAAGTAACAGATCTCTGTATAAAATGGACAATTTGGTCATGTTGGTAAAGGCTCATATGGTGTATTTATGATAATATTGTCAAATAATTATGTAAGAAATTTATCACATAGCTATTGCATGTTTTACACTGTTTTATGTATGTAAATTCACATTATTTGACTTGATAAAATTCATGCAAAAACCATTAATTGTGATGACACATCCATGGATATGAAAACGATTTCTTATGATCGAGCTATATTCACTGTATAAGGAAATACATATATATCCTAATTTAAAAATCTTTTGATAGACAGACATGGGTAGAATATTTCTTAGACACATAGGAGGGACCAGGCTATTCTCCTGTGCTAGTTGTGACACGCCTCTAACAAACAGAGCAGAGTTGATTTCAACAAGATTCACAGGTACATGATCTGAACGTATTTTTACTTGATTATTATAGCCCTGAGTGCAATTAATCATGGAGTTTATATGCAGGTAACAGGCACTTTCATTAATTTGTATGAATCTTGTGTTATCAATGAAATGATAAATTTCTTATATTTGAAATAAAAAATTATGATGGGAAATGAAAAAGCAAGCCTGAAAAGAAAAGTTTTCATTAATACCAAAATATCTCTAGACTTAATTGTAGTCTAAGCATGTTGAGGGATATTCTCTTGTAATTCCAACACTTTGAAATTGTATATATATTTTTTCTTGCATTAATATTATCTGTGTAACAACAATTTTTCAGATAAATGACAACTGTATTCTCAATGCTTTTTTAATCTGCAAATTTCTCTTCTGATTATATGATTAATGAAAATATAAATGAACATGTTTACTTTATCGTATCTAATTTGATTATAAACTTTCTTTCGCTACTGTGGAATCATTTAAATTCGTGGGGGTCAATGTTCGTGGGCAAGCAAAATTTTATTGGTTCGTGAGGACGTAATTTCATGGGTAACTCATATATACAGAAGATTCAATGAATGAATATGTTGACAAATAATTGTTCGTGGGGATGTAAATTCGTGGATAAGGGTGACCCACGAAATCCACGAACATTGGTCCCCCACGAACATTGATGATTCCACAGTAATTCATAAAAATTTCTTATATATATATATTTTGATACTAGTACTCCTTAGTCCTATATGGGCAAAAGAACTGCGAATGATAGTATTGTTCTCCCGCTTACCTCCAAGTCAATTTTCAAAAGTTAACACATTTGAATGATTTTTCATATTTTTGTAGATATATATTTTCATAAACCATTACTTATTTGGGAAAACAAAGAGAGATAACTCTATAATTTTGGTAAAACTTGTGTTTTTCACTGTAGAAATCAATGGAAAACAGAAAATATTTTTAAAACATCTTCCCCCCCCCCCCCCCCCCCCCCCCCCCCGTGAAACAAAAATTCCTTTTTACAGTTAATATGGATCGTTATTTCACATATTCATAACAAAGCTTTTTGTGTTTCACGGGGGGGGGGGGGGGGACATATTTTTACAGACAAAAAAAGACAAAACTGCTCATTTATTCACCAATTTCGAAGGGATTTACAACTTTAACGTATTTTATCAATTACATATGTTTAATTTTATATGCGTAAAACATAAGAAAAGATTTAAGGAACATTTATTCATATCCAAGAATATTATAAAATGTGGTGATGCTTTAAAGCCCAATTTCAATGGAAAATGTCATCTACCCCCCTTATTTAAGAGCTGGAAATGGGGGTAATTAACTAACACTTGTATTAAAATTATCAGTCACTTACCATTGAACTGTTCTTTGCATTGAACAAAGATTTTACGGCCAAATTGCCATTAGTATTGAATTAAATGGGTGTAAAATGTAGGCGGGAATCGGGAGTTAGCGTGCGTAGTTCTTATGATTATAGGACATATTGTTCTAATTGGAAAATACATGTACATGTACACTATATATAGATTGAGGTGCCATAGCAGAGACCTATACCAATGTTGATATAAATGTACACCTTCATTTTTTCTCTCATGTATATAACATATAACATATATCATTTCAGTTTGTGTTTATTATTTTTTCTTTGCTTTGTAATGTCTTTATTGTCTTTGAAAAGCTGTGTAGCAAAAATGCAAGTTAAAGCCAACAACTACTCATAAATAATACTGCCTGTCATACATGTATATCAGTTTACTGTTTAAGGTTTTTCTAAAGATGGCAAAGTTTTTGAAAAAAGCTATACTTGTGTGGCTAAACCTTACAAAATAGGGCATGGTTATCCAATATGACAGATGACAATGTACAAAAATAGAGAAATGAAACTCTAAAACTGTAATCAAGTTTGAAGAAAAAGTACTGAGTTATGGAGGTTGTAGTTGAAAACTCAAAAAGTATGACAACAACAGAATTAAGTAATTTAGTGCCATATAGAATTATTTGTGGTGAAAAATATATATGCAGTCACTGTTTAAAAGTTCCAAATCAACAAAACGTGTACATTTGAAAAAGCAAACTGAAGATGTATATATATATATATATTGAAACAGTTATATAGACTGGGTCCTTGGACAACAACCCTTGAATAGATTTGTTGCCCTTAACTGAAGGTTTCAGGCAACAGATCTATTTTTGGGTCAAACAAAAACATCTGTTATCATTTGAACCCAGTCAGCAACTAATAATAATTATATAGGTCTCTGGTTATACATACATATATGATTAAAGTAAAGCAGTATGCATTGATCTGAATAATGTGGGTGGTTCATGTTCCAGCTATTAATTCAGAGCAATAAGCGGAAAGAAAGATATTCAGATCTCATGAATGTTTTCCTGTTTATGAAGTGAAATAAATGCAACTGAAAGTAGTTTATTTCTTTCTGTAATCTAGGAGCCACAGGAAGAGCCTTCCTCTTCAACAAAGTGGTTAACTTAAACTACAGCGAAGTACAGGATCGAGTCATGTTGACAGGGCGACACATGGTCCGAGATGTATCCTGCAAGAATTGTGACGCGAAGCTTGGCTGGGTGTATGAGTTTGCCACAGAAGACAATCAGAGATACAAAGAAGGGCGAGTGATCTTGGAGAGGGCACTAGTGACTGAAAGTGAAGGTATAGAGGAACATATCAGCCATGACAGTTGAAGTAAAAGGGGAGATACTGTTGCCTTAAAATGTACAAAGCTGTGTGTATATTTTAATGAGATTAACTTATCACAGGATATATAGTGCCAGAAGAGTTGTTTACGAAAGTGTTATAAAGACAGTTTAAAAAATTCTGTGATGACAGTTTGAACTGGCTTGCTGTCTAGAGAGATAGGGTTGTTTCAGCATGTTCATTTATGTGAGATGAGTTTCACATCAGAAATGTAAATTCAATGTTATGCTTGTTGAGAAATGTTGATTCCTAACTTGGATTTTACTTGAGCAGTTATCCATATATCATAAATTTTAGTAGTCCATGTTCAGCTACATTCAGCAGTACATGAATTTCACATTAACTTTAAAAAAAAAAACAACAAAAAACAAAAACAAATCATTCCACCTACACATTGCTATGGTTTAATAATTTGACTAAATGATTAACTCAAGACATACAGATAGAGAGAGGGATAAACAGAGAGAGAGAAAAATATGAACAACTGAACACATTTGAGTACTTATATTAGTAGTTGCATTAAAAGGTAGATGTATAATGAAAAATATATTTAATTTTTCTGGAATCCATTCCTTTATCAAAATCTCAACGTTTAGTACACCTGAGTCACAATGCTATTTCTTTTGGTCTGTTGTTACTTAAGATTTAAACATATTCAGCTTCTTCTCTGAATGACTGAGCCCACCAGTTAGCATCTATGGAAAAAGGGAAACAAAACTTTGAACTTCATGATCTCTGCCTTCCTTGGGCCTATGGGGTGGGGCCAGGACCATCGTAGTTAATAAAATCTTCAAAAATCTTCATTAGTCCTGGATATCAAGCAGTCAACTATTTGCATGGTTATAATAAGAAATGATCTCTCTACTAAATTAAAAATTGTGAAATTCCTGGCCCCTGGGTTCAGGCTCCAGGGTGGAGCTAAGTTTGTTATATGCTGATATTTGAAATGCTTTAATTTATTTCTTATAAAATCTTCTTTTTTACTCATTTTACTCTTGTACATCTAGCATGCAAATTGTTGGCATGATTATTATAAGTACTAATTTTTTTTTTACCAAAGTTGTTAAATTCCTGGCCCCTGGGTCCATTGTTAAGGCCTTATTTGTTCACATATTGAAAAAAAACTTTGCATCTTAGAAAATCTTCTTCTATGCTCATGGAAACTAAGCAGGCAAACTGTTCAATGACTATAATAAGTACAGCACTCTACCAAAATTGTGAAATTCATTGCTCCTCTGCCCATTGTTCAAGCCCCTTAGTGGGGCTTAATCATGTATTGAAAATTAATTAAATCTTTGAAATTATTTTGTCAAAAGGACATCTATCAAAGAGCAAAATAATTATAAAATTACTATAAGTGTAAAACCCTTTACCAATGAAAAATTCATGCCTTTTGGGTCATTGGTTTAGGTCCAGGGTGGGATAAGTTGGTCATACAGTCAAACCTCATTAACTCGAACTTGTTCAACCTTCAGAGATATCTGAAGGTTTGAGATATTGAGGGTAAAATATACTTAAAGGAAAAGGGTTTGGGACTTCCAAATCACTTCAATATATCAATTATATTCAATATATCTCTGTTTGAGATACCGCAGTTGTGTGATGTCCATCCATCTTCGCTAGCCAAGAGTTTATGATCCGCTGCCCTTGATGATGCGATGGAATGGTAACCATTGGTTAGCAAAGATTGATGTTACACATGCAGTGTGTATTTGATGAGCAGTGAACAGCGCTGATTAATTCCTTTCCTAGCTGTTTTCTTTATTGTCTCTCTGTTATTTTTACATAAACTCACATGATATTTCTTTAAGATGCTCTATGTAGATGTTCAAGGATATTTTACTGCTGTTTCAGGGACATTTTCACAAAGTTATGAAGTTTCTATTCATTGTCACTTCGATCATAAATATTTGATGTTTCTATTTATAGGAAAGAAACTTTGTACCAGTGCTTTTTAAAGATGAATTAACATTAAATAAAGAAAAAAAAATATCATTCCAATGTGTGGAGATACATAATAAAAACTACTTTATTTGTCAAATGACTTGTATTTGTTTTTGCTTAAATGGCCAGTAATAAGGTATTAAAATAACATCTTTTATGATTCAATTTTTTTTCCCCATTTGAAAATTATTTTTTTGGTGCATGAAAAACAGCCATGGAATTTTGACATTTTGGGAATGGATCATGTATTTGATTAGCCCAGTAAGAGTTGTCTTTCTTGAATTAGGATGCTGATTCAAGCTAGCTCAAGCAGAAAGATTAATTCATTTTGACATTTCACCAAATTAAAAATCAATCTGTCAGAAATATTATTAATAACACAGCAATAAAGTTGTGGAGGTGTGCAACAGTCATTTGTTATAATGTCAGACTTTTAAAAATTAAAACCGCTGATACTAACTGTTCTTAAATGAAAGTACTTTGTGCATGAAAAAAAATACTCTTCAAGAGACCAAGCCCTTGTGAACCAAACTTGCAAACCTGCTTCATGCTTTACACATTTTTGACTTTACAAAACCACTGGGCCAATTTCAACCAAACTTCCTACAAAGCAGATATAGATGAAAGGAATTCAGAATTGTTCAATTCAACAAAGTGCCACACTCATTCAACAGGAGAAGATTAAGAACTAGTGAATATTGATGGCAAGAGGCCCAAGGACATTAAATGTTCACCTGAGTAAAATGTAACACTACAAAGTATTCATAGATTGAATATAAAATAAAATGAAATAAGCTGATAAATGAAGCTATGTTGCCAAAAGCAAGGGGAATAGGATGATCAGGGATCAGTAAAATAATTGTGCTCAGTAACAAATATTAAAGTTGATCTATTAACTTGCCTGATGAAATGAAAGTACATTTTAGGTCATCCGAGTCACTCAGGTCTGTTTTCATGCATCGTCTGTTGTTCGTAAACTTTTGAACATTTTTAGCTCTTTCTCTGGAACCATGCACTGAACAAGTTTCTACAAATTTTGGTATAGTGCATCTTTGGGCAAAGGGGGACAAAAAATTTGAATTTCTTCGTCCTTGTCCCCGTGGTGCCTGAGCTCAGGGTTGGGGCCAAAACCAACAAAATTAATGTAATTTTCACAAATTTTCTTCTCTATTCTTGGACATGAAGCAGTCAAACTGTTCTTATGATTATAACATACAATGAGTCCTTTACCAAAACTGTGAAATTCATGGCCCCAGGGTCAGGGGTTCTGGAGTTGGGTGGGGCTCTATTGATTGTATAGTGAAATTGCATAAATTCTTTAAAAAGCTTCTTCTCTCCCCATGTACATTAAAAAAGAAACTAAGTGCATGTTTATGATGAGCAAACAGTCAACTGATATTTTAACTAAGTACTATTAATGTGAAGTAAGTCGACTAATGATTGACACTGAGTGAAAATTTTGTGCTGATGGGAACTGCATTGCTTTGTGACTGGGTTTGATAACTTGTATAAATCTGGTGTAAGAGTGGGGCTCTTTTGATTATATAGTGAAAATGCATTATTTCTTTGAAAATCTTATCTGCTCCTGGGTATTAAGCAGTTAAAACAAGTACATGGTTATGATGAGCAAGGGTGCCTCTTCCAAATTGCGAATTTCATGGCCCCTGAGTCAGGGGTTCTGGTGTTGAGGGATGATCTCGATTATGTAGTGAAAATGCTCAGATTCTTTGAAAATTTTCCCTTCTGCTACTGGATATTTAGCAGATAAACTAACTGCATAATTATGATGAGCAAGGGTGCATCCTCCAAAATTTGTGGCCCCAGGGTCAGGGGTCAAGTGGACCATGGCTAAGTGTTCTGAAAGTGGACAGGGCTGTATAAATTTGTATTTTACTGAGAGAAGTTATTCTCCTTTGCTATTCACCTATGATAATTAATCATTGTAAATAATGTAATTGAAAAGTCAAATTTAAAAAGAGATTTATACAAAGATTTTTATAATATATGATACAAAGTACTTTCATAGTTCTTTAATGGTCAGGTAGACTTGTTAATTATAGATGAATAAAAATGAGGAGAAAAATACCTTAACTTTGTACATTAAATGTTCTTCATAAACCAAGAGAGGAAATGTGATGGGGTTTACCAGTAGTTCTCAAGCACTATTGTTTTCTTTCGTTTACAAAATAATAGTGACAAATTGGGACATGTACAGATAAGTAAATAGATCTAGTTTAAGATGTATTAAGGAGTAACAGACTAATTATTTTGTTGATCCCTAATCATTATATTTCTTTACTTTTGGGCAACATAGCTTCATCTATCAGTTTGTTGTATTTCACACTTTTATGGATCTTTTACAGTGTTGTATTTTACTTACATTGTAGGTGACTTTTAATGCATTTGGGCCTCTTGTGGTACTTTTGCATTAAATATTATGAAAATTTCTTGTATAATTCTGTTATTCAACTACATGTACCTTTCAATTACATTATTTAAAGTGGTTAATTATCATAGGTGAATAGCAAAGGGGAATAACTTCTTTCAGTAGAATACAAATTGACCAAGTGGTGCAGAATTTCAAAAATCTTGTAAAAATACTCTTGCTTATTACAACTTTATATACTCTGTTTTCCTCATAGATGCCCACAAGCAGAGAAGATTTTCAAACAAATAATGCATTCTAACTAAAGATTCAAAATAGCTCCAACCTAACACAAGAGCCACTAACCCAGGGGCCAAGAAATTCACAATTTTGGAAAAGGCACCCTTGCTCATCATAACCATGCAATTTAATATAATTGCTTAGTATCCAGGGACAGAGAAGATTTTACAAAGAAATAATGCATTTTTACTATATAATCAGAGAGCCTCACCTAACACCAAAATCCCTGACCCAGGGGTTATGAATTAAAAACTTTTTGAAAAGGCATCCTTGCTTATCATAACCATACAATTATTTTAACTGCCTAGTAACCAGGGGCAGAAAAGATTTCTAAAGAAATAATACATTTTCACAATACATTCAAAAGATCCCCCCCCCCCCCCAACCTGAACCCCTGACCCTGGGGCACAAATTTCACAATTTTGGAAGAAGCATCCTTGCACATCCTAACCATGTACTTATTTATCTGCTCATTGTCCAGGAGCAGAGAGGAAGATTTTCAAAGAATTAATGCATTTTCACTACATAATCAATAGAGCCCTGTCCTAACACCAGAGCCCTTTTACCCTGGGCTATAAAATTCATAAATTTGAAAGTGGTACCTTTGCTCATCATAACTATGCACTTGGTTTGTTTGTTAAAACTAGGGATGTCAACGAATAGTCGACTATTCGACTATCAGTCAAATGGACCGACGATCGAATAACGAAACGACATTCGAATAAACAAATTCAATAAAAGAGTGATAAAGAAATGGAATTCTCATCCTAAAATTGGGAAACCGTCTTTCCTCAGACACAGTCGATAAGATAATTTTCCTCATTAAAAACTGCTGACTTTACAGGTGGTAAGTACAGTGATTAGAAATGTTTCACTTCCGCGAGAATTGTCAATTAATGTGTTGTTTTTGTAATGAAATTATCTTGCTATATTGCGCTTTCTTTGTAAAATTATTCATTGGACTTGATCTCATACCATGTAACCATTATAGCCGTGACATGTTTAGACACCACGATAATTACTATAAAATTAATGTTCTTTTACATATTTTAACGCTGCATTTTATTTGCGGAATTTTGCATAGCATTTCCGACATTTTTAAATTTCATTTCCGACAATTTTTATTTTGAAATGCAGCCTATTTTAAAGACACTATAGTTATAACTAAAAGTATATTCAAATATTTAACATTATCACAGACACCGTGTGCCCCCCCCCCCTTCTAATCATTCTAATAAGCTTTAAAAAATATATATCGTACTGTCATTTTAAAACCGACTTTACAGACTGATTTATGAACATGATTGACGGGGAAATCATACATTTTGGAGAAATTAGCGGTCCATATTTAGTAAATATAAACATGCTATCCACATTTTAGGTCCATGTGAACATCTGTGTGTAACATTTGATGTAACTTTTTAATAAATTTTAAAAAAGGGGATTTGGAGTTAAATATGCCATGTACCAGTGACGTTTGAAATTAAATTTTAGTTTCCGAAAAAGTTTCGAATATATTCGACTATCGTTCGGATAATGCAATCGAATATTCGACTAAAGAAAATAAATATTTTGACATCCCTAGTTAAAACCCATGCACTTTCACTGTATAAAAAAGAGCCCCCCCCCCTTTCTGCAGAAACCCCTGACCCTGGGGCCACAAATTTCACAATTTTATAAGAGACACCCATGATCTTCAAAACCATACACTTAGTTTGTCTTCGGAATACCCAGGCCATAGAAGAAGATTTTCAAAGAAATAGTGCATTCTTACTATATATTCAACATCCCCTCTTCTGAACCTCTGACCCTATGGCCACAAATTGAGCAATTTTGGAAGAGGCATCCCTGCCATCATAACCATACACTTTGTTTATCTGCTAAATACCCAGGAGCAGAAAAAAAGATTTTCAAAGGATTATACATTTTCACTTTATAATCAATAGAGTCCCTGACCCAGGTGCCATGAAATTTACAATTTTGGCCAAGGCTACTATGATCATAAAAATATGCACTTGGTGTGTTTGCTTTATACCCAGGGACAGAGAAGAAGACTGTCAAAAAGTAATGTATTTTCACTAAATAATCAATAGACCCCCCCCCCCCCCCTCGCAGAACTCATTACCTAGGGACCACAAATTTCACACTTTTGGAAGAGGCATCCTTGATTATCATAACCATGCACCTAGTTTATCTGCTTCATATACAGGGGGAGAGAATACGATTTTTAAAGATTTATGCATTTTCACTATTTGATCATTAGAGCCCGGCCCGCCCTAACCCCAGAACTCCTGACCCCGGGGCTATGAATTTCACAGTTTTTGTAGTGGACTCAATGTTTTATTACAATGCCAACAGTATAATTTGAATGGTTAAAGTCAAGGAGTTAAGAATAAGATTTTTAAAGATAGCTTTAATTTTGATGGTTTTAG